ATAAAAATAGAGACATAGATGAATGGAATAAGATAGAGAATCTAGAGATGAACCTAGCCACATATCATTATTTTTATCTTTGATAAACCTAACAAAAATATTCACTGGGGAAAAGAATCCTTATTTAAGAAATGGTGCTGGGAGAACTTGTTATTCACATGTAGAAGACTGAAACTACTAGACCACACCTCTCACCCTTGACAAAAATTGATTCTCGTTGGATAAAAGATTTAAATGTAAGACACGAAACAATAAAAATGCTAGAAAAGAGTGTGGGGAAAACACTTGAAAATTTTGGCCTGGGAAAAACTTAACAAGGAAGACACCCTCCCCCTGCCCCCCAGCAATTGCAGCAACCAAAAATAAATAACTGGGATTTGATCAAGCTAAAAAGGTTTTGCACAGTCAAGGGTACCACAGACAAAGCAAATAGACACCCTTTGGAATGGGAGAAGATTTTTGCATGTTATGAATCTGACACAGGCCTGATAACTAGAATCTACAGAGAATGAAATTAAGCAATAAGAAAAGGGATATTTGATTTTCATTCTTGATATGCTTTACTTAGGAGAATTTTCTCTAAATCCATCCAGGTAAATACAAAAGATGCAAAGTCTCCATCTTTTATATTATTACTGCTGTAGTATGCTGTGGTACACATATACCCTAGCTTATTAATCCATTCATGAGTTGATGCGCAGTTGGTTATAATTTTGGTACAGTCTCTGAAAATCTAGGATTTAAAATATTAACAATATAATAAGAAAATTAGATTCTTTGGTTGCATCAGGTTATTGAAGTTTATGACTTTTGATTTGATGTATATAACTTTTTTGATTTGAAGGGATTACTTTCTCTGTCTCAAGCATATACTGTTTTTCCTACAAGGTAAAACAAGATGTAAAATTGTAAATAATAACATGGTTCACTAATTTTTTTAAAATTACCTCATCCAGGTTAGGCTTTTAAAATTTCCCATATAAGATTTTGCTTCTGAATTTGCTGTATTACTTTCTTCTTAAAAGTAATTTTAGAAAACTCAGAAACTAAAGTGTTCTTTTCAATAAAATTTTTTGAAAAACACAGAATGGTGTATTTTATAGTGCTATAGGAACAGCATCCTTATTCAAGAGAGTTTTTCTTTATGATGTGTTATTATTCATATTCAGAAAAGAATAATAAAGATATTTTATTGTGTTGTGATTATAATTATTTCATCATGGTTATTAATAAAGCACTATTCAACTTTATTCCTAATACTTAAATTATCTAAGTTGATGAGGCACAAAATTTTCTTATTATACTTATTCATCTAGGATATGTTTTCATTGAATGAGAAGTATGCATTATTTAGATACTGTATATTACTAGAAATGATCTTATTTAAATATGCTTTGAAAAATATAGAAATGTTATTTTCTAGGCATTGTTCTGGAATTAGACATACAAAAATGAATAAGACATTATTCCTGCAATTGAGGAGCTACCACTTAAGTGAAAGAGTCCTCTTTGTAGGCAGATACTTATTAAGTACTACTGTCCTTGAAGTTTACCTGCATTGCTGTGGGAGCATACGTGGGGGAATAATTAATTTAACCTTCTGGAGGAGAGGAAAGATGAAGAAAATGCTATTGTTTCCCTTATAAAATCAAATAAGGTCATTCAGGTGTTGACTGGGGATTCTACTATTTCAGTGTTTGAAATTAGATATGTTTCCTTTTGGGTTTTTTACCTCTGCATAAATTTCTTGTTCATAGTGCCTTACCTTTTGGTTCTGACAATTATCATTAGAAAATGTGGGTAAATAAATGATAGTACAAGAGAAAGATGAAGTCAAGATTTGGGCTATGGGGATTTTTGTATCCCCAGTCTTGGAGCTGGTAATTTTGTAATTTCCTCAAGGGAATTGCATTTCTTTTAAAAGGCTTTGCAGAAGAGTCCCTATCTGAACAGGGCTTTGAGAGATACAGAATAGAATTTTTCATGTGGGGAAAAGGCATTATGGGGAGAGAAAAAGTCAGATGATGAGAGATTCAAAGAATTAGAAACTAAAGCTGGCTCGAGATTATCCTAGTGTTACCAGAATTTCTCTGCCAGGTCCTTGGTCTTGGGAAATAGAAGAATGAATTCATGGGCCATGAGTAAGTGATAGGATAGATTGTATTATAAGACAAGAAGGAAAGAAACCGTCCAGCACAGTAGAGGGGTCCGGAGTGGTTGCCGATTTTGGCTGTCTGACTAGGAGTTCATGTGCAGTTTCTCCTTCCCTGCAGGTGGGGTGGGGTGTAGGGGAAATGGAATGTATGTCTAAAATACATGTCACAGCTATTGGTGCCAAAGGCCTGTGGGCAGAGGTTAATTTTTAAACTGCCACTGTTTTTGACATTCTGCTCTTCCCAGGGAGTGGCGGCTTACGTGGAACCCTGAACAAACTTGTTTATGAACCTGCTTATGCCCAGAAAATGGAATCCGTGTCCAGCCTTGAGTGGAGAGAACGTGCATCACTAGTGTGAGGGACAAAGTGAATGGCACTACTGTTAACGAAGGAGGCGAATATAGCAGTATATTTTGGGGCTGGAGTGAATGGAGTAGGATTTCAGTTTGGGGCATGTTAATTTGAGGATTCTTTAGGAATTTCACTAATTGATATTTTTATTCTTTCTGCCAGATTGTATGAATTACCTGCAAAGTACCCAGACCTCAGGAACACAAAACATAATCTATCCTCAAGACATGTATAGACTCTTGGAGAAAGAGGACAAGGGCATAATTATAAGGAATATTTAAAAATAATCACAGTGTATGATGGGGAACTTGGGATTTTTCATCACCTAACTGAGATTGAGGATGGGAAGGGGAAGAAGATGAGGAATGTTAGGACAGAATTCCTGTGAGATTGCATCATGTGATGAAAATTTTCTTTTGAAGTATGAGTTAGCCAGCTGAGAGTAAGTAAAGAGAGGAGGAAACACATTTTTAGGCAAAAATATATGATTATATTATGCTTAGGTGTGAGAAAATAACATGAGTAAAGGGCAGTACTTATAGTTGAGTTTAACTAGTACAACTATATATGTGGGTATGCAGAGGGTCATGCAGATCATGTGTTTTATTTTTATCTTAAAAACAGCCTTCAGAGTAAAGGTGGTTGGAAGATATAAGGATTTTAAACCAGACATTGACTTCATCAGATGTATCAGATGTGGTGGTCAGTAACTAATTGAAAATTTGTGCTTGAAGCTCACAAAAGTAGTTAGTTTTGCAGTATAAATTTATCTATGGTGTTACAATAATGGATAAAAAGTGTTCCTGGCTTACTTGCGAAAAGAGGTAGACAAAAATCACATTCCTCATGCTAAGTGTTAGTATTGTGGTCTGAAGTACTTGTGTACAGAGGAGGAGAAAGTGACTTTGTATTTATGAGTCATGGGGATATTGGTGGCATTTGAAACTGAGAGTATTGATGAGATTTTCCAGAGAAAGAATTTAAAGACAAATGAAGGAACTGTAAATAATTCTGGGAAAAAGCAACTTTTATAGGGCAGTATTTAAAGAAAAATCCTCTAACTGCCATGATTTCAACACTGTGGATTGCAATCCATTAGTAGGTTGCTAAATCAATATGTAGTGGATGTGAAATCAATATGGTTGATTATAGGCAGATTAGGAGCAAATAGAAAATCTTGGAGTATATAGTAAAGCTAATTATTGTGAAATTTTACTGAGATGTTTGTGCGTGTGTGTACTGGGTACAATGTAAAATGCATTTCTTATCATGTGTGTGGTCACAAACTTTTGAACACCAATAAAAGAAACCAAGGAAGAACAATCAGGAATAATTTAATCACACTTGTTCTTCATTATTCTGATGACAAGGATAACAAAGATGACAGTGAAAGTGCAGTAGGGAGGAGATTTTCTAATTTTCTTTTCTTTTCTTTCTTTCTATTTTTTTTTTTTTTTGAGACAGTCTCACTATGTCGCCCTTGGTAGAGTGCTGTGACATCACAGCTCACAGCAACCTCAAATTCTTAGGCTTAAGCGATTCTCTTGCCTCAACCTTCCAGGTAGCTGGGACTATAGGTACCTGCCACAATGCCTGGATATTTTTTGGTTGCAGTTGTCATTTTTGTTTAGTAGGCCTGGGCTGGGTTTGAACCCACCAGCCTCGGTGTATGTGGCTGGCACCCTACTTACTGAGCTACGGGTGCCGAGCCTGTCTCACCATTCTTACCTCAAGTGTCAGACACTGGCTTTGTATGAATGCCTATCCAAATGATAGATATGGTGGGTTCCTGGTTCTCCTTTCAGATTTTGTGCCTATAAGGTTCCTGACCTTTAGATAAATTCTTACATGTCTGAATGTTTTTTGGTTCTCATTCCATTGATCTTCAGGCACAGCTAGACTTGTCTGAGTTATAAGTTGATGGCTCCTTTAATTAGGCCCAAATGGGGACCAGGACCCTTGGTATATGATTTCTCAAGAAAAGGGAGGTCAAGGTGGGAAATCCCTACTTATTTTTATTATTATCCCACCACCTGTTTCTTTTACTCCCTTTAGTTCTTCATATAGGTGTTTTTCTGGTTCATTTGAAATTATTTCCTCATTTGCCCAGTTGGAACAATAATGTGTATTTCCATGGAATTAGATCCTATCTGAATATTGTGTTGGAAGGTTTGACTCACTTCTTCCTCATATTTTTAAATCCTTCTTAAAGCTTTCCAGATCTCTTAACTTGAGTTTAGTAAAGATTTGAATATCTAGCACATTTTCCTTTCAAATAAGTATTGGTACTTTATTTTTTTCTGGCTCATATGTGAAGAATTCTGATGAGCCTTTTTGAAAACTCATCATTGGCAGTTACTTTAGAACAGCAATTTATTGAAAGGCACTATGTTAGACGTGTTTTATTGCATTCTACTCAAGGTACGCGGTGCAAGGAACCATGAAGATTGAAAAATGCAAATGATAGATGTATCTCTTTCTCCTTATTTTCTAGCCTTGTTTGAATCCTGGGGGCAGCCAGTCATCTGATGTGGTACTTTTGAACCATTGGAAAGCAAGGAATTTTGAAGTACAGCGTGGTGACATTGTGTCACTGGTGTAAGTAATGCAGAAGCATACTATATTTATACGTAAAATTATTTGTGCTTAAGCCAATTTAACTGGTAATCCATTGTTGATACCATATTGCCAATTATTAAATGAATAAATATATTTTAAGTATTTTTTTTTTAAAATCAGTTTTGAACTTTAACAGTTCTATAAAAGAGCATTTTTTCTTTTACATTTAGACTATATTAGTTGATTGACATATCTGGATTTGGTTTAATGTATTTAATGATTTGTTGATTAGAATTATTGTACTGATGATCCCAAATATATGCATTTGGTATTACTTTGGAATATTTTGAAATTTTACATCTTCATGAGCAACTTTTGTTACCCCAGAATTTGCATAGCTAAAAAGGATTGCTAGAAGGTGACAATTATGACACGAAATTCCCTGACATTTGTATTCTATATTAGGAATTTAAATGAAACAGCAAGTTTGAGATTAATACTAGAGGCTTCTGTTTGGCACCAAAAGGTGGCACTGTTTCTCTGTTAAAATATTATGAATGATCAGGACCAAAAATTTCAGTCTTAATGTAGAAAAGGAATGTCAAAGTGTGCATAACTGACATGATGATGTAATGCATAGTCCTAGTACAGTCTTGAGTGGTTTGTATTTGAATTTTTTGTTTGTTTTAAAAGTAAATTCACACTGGAAAGACTGCAGTGGAACGTGCCCAATTTATTCTGGTTTCAGCTACTTATAAAAATGTTTTATTATACTTCCCTGTTAAACCAGTTAGTGCACTGGGGCAGCAACTAATGTAGCAGTGTTACTGCCATTTGTTTTAGTGATAGTAAAGATCTACTTTTGGGTAACTTTTCCAATTTACATTTCTGATCCTTGAGTTGGAATGGCCTTTCTGTTTCCTAATTGGGTGGTAATTTAGAATTGTATGATAAAAGCAAAACACTACCTACTTGTTTATACTTAACCTTTGGCTAGTGCTCTGTGGAAATATTCTATAACTATGTCTCTTTCAAAACTGTTTCATCAGGATTCACTTGAAAACATATTAGCCAGATCTACTTAATAGCTAATGAAGTAAATTCAAGTGGAATTTTGTATGGCAGACATGCAAGGATGGTATTAAATGCTTCTCAGGTTTTGAATGCTTTCTTTAGTGTCAACCTACTCTTTGGTGTGTACTTGTATTTTGTCATTCAGAGTGCTATTTTTGCAAGCTCCTTAACAACCTTTTCCACACTGGGTTAGCCTGTTATATGCTCGTTATTCTTTTGCCTTTGGTTTGACAAGATTACAGCCTCGCTTAGTTGGTGAAGGAGAGGATACCTACTCAAGTAAAGGAGGACACACTTTACAGACAACAGTGTAGTGTGTTCTTTTTTTCTTTCCCACGAGAAACCTGCTAACTGTCTCTAAGTAAGTGAATTTCAATAGGTCATTGAAAAATGTAAAAAAGCTTCTTGAAATTCAAGGTTGCAAGTGTCCATAAAAGTACCCTACCATATCATGAATCATTAAAAAGGGAACATTAATCTCTTGTATAAACAATAAAGAAATTTATATTTGTTACATAATTAATTTTAAAACATTATATTCAAATTGGGGTTTATATGATAAATTACAGCTATTCCAGGTTGACCATATCTTTTTTTGTGAACTGTATTTTTAATGAGTCAATCATGCACTATATGTTCTTTTAAATATGAATAACAAACTTTCTTTTATAATGGTTGTTGCTAGTAGCATTTACATAAAAGAATGCTTAGTGATTGCTGTTATATTATTTAACAAGAAATAGTCATGAAGAAATATTATTGCTTTCTTTGAGAAAAAACAAAAGTCTGATACTAAATTCTTCTTTTGCACAATGAGATATTACATTATTTAAAATATCTTTTCAGTTTATGAGCAAAAATACTTTGTAGAAACATATCTTTATATTTTCATACAATTCATAGACTGCTTCATTTTAAAAGACTGATTTGATTAATGTTCCTGATATACATTTAATTCATGTCAAACATCATTGAATATTTGTTTTTCTTACAAAGTGCATCAGTCTGGTTTTGAACTAGATGATAATTTTCATTACTACAATGGAATATCCTATCTATTTAATAAATATGTGAGTAACACAGAAATTTATATCTGTTGACTATAAAGCTAAATATAAAATGTACTTTATCATTTTGTTTGGAAATTGACAGTAATAATGCTTCATTGATAACATAAGTAATTTTTGAAAACAAAGTAATTTGAACTTTTTATTACTTTAAAACATTCTGGGATGGTTTGTGATGTATTCAGATGTGTGGAAATATTATAGTAGAAATGCTATAGTATTTTATAGACATTTCTAGAGAATTTATAGTTTGCAAATTCATGTTTAAATCAGTAGAGCTTATGTAACTTTGTAACCAGAGAACTAATCAAAACAATAACAATCTCACTAAAAATGCTAACACTTTAAAAGATATGAAATTTTTAATAAACTGTAGTAAAAGTAGCATTTTAGTTAAAACAGAAAAGATGAAGGTAGCCTGATTATAGGTGATATAAGGAAAAGTTGTGGCTAACTGCAGATACAAGGGTAGAAACACATTATCATCAGAAATTTCAGGTAGAAAAAAGCTTCTAAACTTTGCACCATCTGAGATGTATTTTCTGCTCATTGTTTTGTGTTTCTTTTGTTTATTTATTTATAAACCATGATGAGGTCTAACTTTGCAATAAACAATTCTAAGAAGAAAGTTGGATGTATAATACTGATTCCTTCCTGGCTTGCTGCCATTAGTCTACTTGGCCTTCAGTTGCTGTTACTAATAAGGCAAAACGTTAATGATCTGGGGAAAAAAATTACATGTGATCCAATGTAATTTCTGCACTGCACTGAAATCTTTTTTCCATTTGCCAGTTGTCTGTGTTAACTCATTTTATGTTCATGGTAATTCATGTTACAGAAACACATAATATATAGCAGAACAGGCTGTTCCTTGTATTGCAAGGGGCTTTGTTCAGAACTTGTCTTCCAATTCTGTTTCCTAAAGCATGAGTAGTACAGGGAAAGGAGGTAGATGGATATAGGTAAGTTTCTTTTTATCTCTTCCTTATCTTGTCTCTCTCTTTCTGTAAAAAATTTGGTTACAGTGGAGTTATTGTTTAAGCATGTTATTCAGTAATGTTAATTCAAAAGATATATTTATATAATAACATCACTGGTTGCACAAAATGTGGTTTGCTGTCATCAGCTTTTCAGTATTACTGAGTATATATAGACAGCCTCATACTCTCTCAGTGGATTTACAAACTAATAGTAGAGATTAAGGTGGATTTTCTATATCTTTGAATTGACTTTTCATTAACCTATGTGATGGCCTTGGTGCAACAGGCTTAACATGCTAGTAGCACTATTTCATGGTAATATATATTGCTCAATGGATCCACTGGGACAGAGGTTCTTTCAACAATAACTTTCCAAATAATTACACTTAGAAGTGCTTTAACCTTATTTTTATTTAAAGAAAAGTTGCAAAAATAGTATAGGGAGTGCCCATATACTCTGTAATATTAGCATTATGCACAACCATAGTTCAATTATTGAAGTCAAGAAATTGACACCAATACAATATTATTAGCTAATCTATAGACCTTCCTCACATTTCACCAGTTTTTCACTAATTGTCCTTTTCTCAGCTGAGATCTCATATAAGATCCCATCTTTAATTTTTATTTTTCATGTCATTCTATTCTCCTTCAATTTGTGGTAGTTCCTCAGTTTTTCTTTGTCTTTTATGATCTTGATGCTTTTGAAGGATACTGGCTAGTTATTTTGTGGTATGCTGCTCAACTTTTTTCATGTTTGAGGCCAGTCTCTCTTCAAATAGGGAAGCACTGATGTTGATGGCAGATGCTGAGGAGGCTGCAGCATTGGTAGCAGATAAATGAGTGAGAAACTCTGGCTGAGTAGGCAGCAGGGCCAGCTGGGGAGGTGGATGAACTAGGCAGAGGAGAAGGACGTGGGTCTCTCTTTCAGGCACAGGCCTTTTTAGTTTCTTAAGACCGCATACTTGCACCACAACTAGAAGGATCCATGCTTCCTAGAAATTGGGTCAAATTTATAGCTGCTAGGAAGCAAGGAGGGAGAGCTGTGAAGGTGGAGGAAAAGGCTACAGTTTATAGGAAAGATAGAAGGTGCTAGATCACAGATTTCATTATTTTGAACCATTGTTCAATTCCAGAATAGAAAGTTAAGGTGAAGGAATTATTTAATGAGCATCCTGGATATACACATTGTGCTAAGTACTTCGGGTATGCCATTTTTATTTAATTCTCATATCTGGAGATGGTTATTTCTAACATCATGGAATTGAGATTCATAGTAAGTAAATGGCAAATAAATAGCAAAGCCAGAATTTGAGTCTAGGTGCATTTGACTTTAAACACTATCTGATACAGTAGACACATGTAGTTATTAAGTCCTTGAAATGTAGCTACTGCTACTTGTTAAAATGATAATATTTTGGATATTTACAGGAAAATAAATATATTATGAAAATTTCTCCTGTTTATTTTTCCTTCTTAGATGTGGCTAATAGAAAATTTAAAACTAAACATGAGACAGACATAATTTTGTTGGGCAGTGCTATATCTAAACCTTTTTCTTTTATACATTGCTGCTTCCCTGGGGTGAGTCTAAGGTGAACTAAAATGAAATCACAAGTCTGAGGTAGAACACACTAAGGTAGTTGCTAGAAGCAAAGGCAGACTTCCAAATGTAGGTAAACATTTGGTTGGGGAAAATGTTGCAGTGATTCAGTTCAAAGACAAAGGGAAAATGGTATGTAATATAATGAAGAGAGACATTATAGTTTTTTACTATTGATTGCTTATTATTTTCTAGCCTTTGAGCTAAGAATTCTGAATCTACTGTTATTTAATTCTTATTAAAAGAAGATCCAATAAAATACATACTGTTGTTACCCCCATTTTATACAGGCCAACACTGAAGAATAGAGAGTTTCAGTAACTAACTTGATAAGAACATGATAAGTAAATGACAGAGCAAAGGCTTGAAATGCCTCACTTCAAAACTGTGTTCCTGGCCATTATACTGTTATATAACACCTCTATATATTGGGGGGTGATGGTGTGGTTGAGCAACTTACCCATTCTCAGCAAAGAAGTCGTGGTGGGTTTGGTATGTCATCAAATTTCTGATACGGTGGTTCCTGAAATGTATAGTAGTCTCTTCATTGATGGCAGTAATACTCTATTATGAACATAATATAATATATATTATAATTTAAAATAAACTATATGTGATATATAATAATAATATAATAAATTATACTATAATGTAATTTCCACAACTGGTTTGTGACGTGCTAAACCAATTGCTATTTTTAGACAAATGGTCAATGTGATGATGATATTCTAGAGGTTAGTATAACCAGAGAATTATGAAGATTTAAGCTAGAAAAATAGAATAAAGCCTTTAAAAAAAAAAAGAAAGATGCTAACTCTTTTCTGTCTTGAATGCTTGTAAATCTACAAAGGTCCCTTGACCCACCAAGGGAAATTAATTGGAGCCTACTATAAAAGGAAATTCATATTTTGAAACATTGCTCAGGGCAATGATGACCCATTATTGTATTAAAATAATGACCTATAATTGTATTAAAAGCCAGTTATCTGTTGAGCTGAGAAAGTTTAATTGTGTGCATTTATCTGTTCCATCTGTACTCATTACCAATTTTTTTTTTTTTTGTTTTGTTTCCTTTTTATTTATTTATTTATTTTTAATTGTTTGGGATTCATTGAGACAAAGAATTAGGTTACACTGATTGTGATTGTTAGTTAAAGTTTCTCTTATAATTGTCTCCTGCCCCAGAGGTGTACCATACATCAGACCCCCCATCCTCCTCCCCAAAATATGGAACTTCACAAATTTGCATGTCATCCTTGTGTGGAGGCCATGCTAATCTTGTCTGTATCATTCCAATTTTAGTATATGTGCGGCTGACGCGAGCACCTCATTCCCAGATTTTTTGTCTATAGCCAAATATTTTTCTGATTTGTAGTTAATATTGTATATTTAGGAGCACAAATATAGAAAGACCATGACTTTCAAGGAAAGGTTCTGTAGGCAGAACAAAGTGCTTAGGTTTTTTTTTTTTTTTTTAATGTTTGTCTGTTTGTTTTGTTTTTATTTGACAGTAATATGATGGGGAGTGAAATCTTTTGTTTCAATTTATTATGAAGAGAGAGTTTTTGGCACTTTTAATTATCCACTGTAATTTTTATTTATCATTAAGTGTATCTACAAATTATACTTTTTCTTTAAAAAATGAATACTATTTTACATAAAATGCTATTACTTGATATAGATTAAACTGATTTTTTAAATGCTATTTGTAGGCATACAAAAAGTTGATGCCCTTAAGGCAGTTCTTAAAAACAGTTTGCCTTTTTTAATATGATATAATATCTTCATAATGTTTATAAATTTAATTATCTAATAAAAAATTTCTTAGTTTAGAGATAAATTACAGCTTTGCAATGTTTCATTGATCACAGGTTTCAATTTTAAATTATTGAGGTTTTATGGTAATTTAACTATAGCAGATCTCCATTGCTTCTGCACATCCCACTTTATAAATCTTATACCCTTTGAGAAGTAACTAGAACTTATCAAAAAACAAAGTTATACAGGCAGAAGTCTCTGAAATAGTGAGTATTTATAACTGTGCTTATTTTTACTTGGAAAAAATGCAGTCTCTGACAACACTGTCAGTTATATTTAAAAAAATAAGTGCAAGACAGCATTCACAAAGAAGGATCTCCCAAATACACATCATATGTTATATGTAAGGAGTTGGGTTGACTTGTTGAGGAGAAGCATTTTGAATATGTTTAAATAATAATTATAGCAGAGAATTAATTAAGATTTTAGAGGAGTAAACAGCTTGGGTTTCAAGGAGGAAATATAACACAAGGCAAAGATAAACTATCACATAGGTATGCCAACTTATCTAAAATAATTTTAGAATCAGTAACCTGTAGAGGCATACATAAAGATAGGCCGCTGGTATTAGTTAGTGCCTAATTTCCACTTTCAGCTATAATAGGACTAGTTTATTTCACCTAAGGCCTGTACTAAGGAAAAAAAAAAGGATAAAGATGACTTAAAGACTTTTATATATAAGACTTGTATATATCTCAAAGACATTGGAGCAGTATGAATGGGTAAGGACCTAAAAATGAAGGAAGACACATTGAAGTGAGCCCTGCATTTGGTACCACTTTTCACTTTGGGTTCTGTCAATATATGAGCAGCACAGGCCAGTAGGTTGAGAAGCCACGCAGTGGCAGCTATGATAGTGCCCATAGTTTTTGGCAATTTCACAGAGGTAAGGAATCACAAACTAGAATTCACACACTCTAAGCTTTTCATTGGGGTGATATCCTAAGAGTTAGGGAGAACTAGAAATAGATTACAACTTACAAAAATTGAAATGTAGCCTATGATCACCCGATCTTAAGGAAATCTACCTTTACTTTTTAACTATCTGTCATTCCCAGAATCACGAGGCATCATGCAGAATTTCTATATTATCTTTGTACACAATACCTGGTATTTAACAAAAATTTATACCATAAATATCGGAAGCTAGGATGAAGATAAATAAAATAAAACAATCAAAGATAGACGTGATCTCTTGGTGATCCAGATATTGGAATGATCATATATGAACTATAAGTTAATTATGATTAATGTACTTTTAAAAATAGCAAAAGGATAATTTTGGCAGAGAATAAGAAGTTACAGAAAGATTTTATTTTTTATTTTTATTTATTTTTACATATACATGTGTTTACTAGGTTTCCACTTTTTGCCTTCACAAAATCAAAAAGGCTTAAAATTTAACAACAATAACAATGTTTAAGATAAGGACTAGAAACAAAAACCTCATAAAAAATGAAGATAAATACATTCATAAAAGAAATCAGACAATTGCTATTACAGAAAGATTTTAAAGAAATTATAGAAGTGAAAGCTACTGTTAAATGAAATGAGGAACTCAACAGTTGAGACAATTAGACATAGCTGAGTAGAGAATTAATGAACTGGGGGTCAGGTCAGTTAAAAAATATCTATAAACTGTACTATGGGTGGCAAAAGTGAATGGGGTACACAATGAATAATATAAATAGTGTAATGAGGAGAAAGACTGACCACCATCCACTTGGAGCTTCAGAGAACAGGACATACAAAATGAGGAGTAAGCAATATCTGAATAGATTAAGGTCAAGAATTTTCCAAAACCAATGAAAGACATCAACCCACAGAATCAAAAAGCACTAGCAGGGTAAATACAGTGAAATCACATTTAGAGTACAAGGTAGTCAAACTACTGAAAACCAAAGAGAAAATAAAATCTTTAAAGGAAAAAAAGATATACTCTGTAGGATACTGAGCACCAGGCTTATAGAAGCAGCCACCGGTTGTTGAGGAAGGCACTGGGAGTGAGACATCTCCTAGCCGCCTTGGAGATATTTTGCTGCTGGGAGAGGAGCCCTCAAGCAGCTGCAGACATTAATGACATAAGATCGGTTGCTCATTAGCAAGCAGGTGTGAACATTCATGGTGCAGTAGGGTGGGAGTGGAATCCCATGGGGAAAGAGTACGTATTGACCATTAAGCACCTGATCCTAGTATGTGGGGCCCCAAACCCGTTGTATAATGCTTGAATACAAGGCCATGGCAGAGATTAATCTGGGCTTCCCTGGAGATAGGGTAAGTCCACCTCTGGCAGCCATGTACCTTCAATCCGTGTCCTGGCTGTTTTTATTCCCATGGTGATGGAGTGCCACAGCGGGCACCCACAATACTCACTTCAAACAAACAAAACTATAGCTGACTTTTTAACTATTAAAAGACAGGAAAGAACTGAATGACATCTTTAAAGTGGTAAAAGAAAAAAAAAACTCTCAACCTAAAATGTGGTACCTATTGGAAATATTCCTTAAAAATGAAAGAGAAATACTTTTTTCCTCCAGATGAGCCCCAGCACATAGTCAGTTGTTCTGCTGGGCTACACTTATAAAACAAATTCAAAGTGTTAAGAATTTCATGATGGCAACTTCAGACCTGATACTGGTCACATCCCCCTGGTGGTAGGTGCAGGGGTGGGCACTTGACTGAAGTTGGGCTGATGGAAGCCATTCCTAGAAGTGAATATATAAATGTTAGGGGTGAAAGTTATTTTTTTGTAAGAGTTTGAATAATATGATTTGCTAGAAAACAAGTCACATTTCCTTTAGGTAACATCAATAAAATATGTGTGAAGGATAATAGGTAGAATTTTGGTTCCTTGGAACAGTGAATATGATGAGATTTTATATCCATTTCTAAAGGTACTTTGCAGATGTAATTAAGGTTACTAATCACTTGACCTTAAAATAGGGAGGTTATCCTGGATTATCTAGGTGGGCACAATGTAGACACTTGAGTCTTTAAAAGTAGAAGAAGCAGCAAAGGAGATATAGCATAAGAAGAGAGATACAAAGCACAGGAAGGATTCAACACACTGTTCCTGGCTTTGAAGATGTAGGGAACATCAGAGGAAAGTAGGAAGGAAAGCAGGAAGCTAAAAATGACCTCCATCTAAAGTCCAGCAAGGAAACAAGGACTACAGTCCTACAACTACAATGAATTTTTCTACCAACCTATGAGCCTGGAAATGGATTCTCTTGGAATGTCCAGATAAGGACCAGACCACCTTGATATTTGTCCTTTTGAGACTCTAAGCAGTACTCAGCCAAACACACCAGATTTCTGTCCTGGAGAACTGTGAAATAAAAATATGAGTGTTATTTAAAACCCCGAAATATGTTGTAATTTGTTACAATGGCAATAGAATTCATGTTAAGTAATTAAAAAGTATAAAAACAATTCTACCTTTAATATATTTAAGGAAATGAACTTTTACAAAAGGTTATTAAGTGTTTGAAAACACTGATTTTTCCTCTCTTTCTTTTTTTTTTTTTTGCAGTTTTTTGGCTGGGGCTGGGTTTGAACTTGCCACTTCTGGTATATAGGGCCAGTACCCTACTCCTTGAGCCACAAGCACTGCCCTGCCCTGATTTTACTTAAGTAATTGCCTAACTAATTAAAAATTGTTTTTTTATTTTCCATGAAACAAATCTGAAAGCCTGTTTCTATTTTGCAGGGCCTGAATATGGGACTAGGCGTCAAGAGATCTTGTTTCTGTTTTAGGTTGCATCACTTATTAACTGACTGGGTGACCTTGCACAGGTTATCTTAAGCTATTCCTTGGGCTATTTTTAGCATCTACATAATAAGAAGTATAAAATAGCTGATCTCTTAGGTCTGTTCCATTTAAAAAATTGTGTGAAAACAGTTTTAGGGATCAAGGTAGAATTGTTAGGAAGCTGGACATAAGAATCAGTCCCCCAGAATACCAGAAAAATATGTTGTATTCTTTTGAAGCTAGAGGCAAAATTGATTTGAAATTTTTTAGGAAGAGCCATGTTGACACTTTTTTTTTTTCTTCTCAAGACAGGATCTCACTCACTCTGTCAATGGGGCTAGAGCTGGTGTCATTGTGCTCACTGCAACCCCTAGCACCTGGGCTCAAGCAGTCCTCAAGTGGCTGGAACTACAGGTGTGCACAAGGACACCTGGCTAATTTTTGTGTTTTTCATACAAGAGATGGGGATCTTGCTCATGCTCAGGTTGGTCTCAAGTCCCTGAACTTCTGCTTTGGTCTCACAGAGTGCTAGGATTATAGGCATAAGCCAGGGTGCATGGCCTATGTTGACACATTAAACAGAAAATTCTGGAACAGATAGGAGACTTTAAACACTGGGTCTTTATTGGTTAATGCATCAAGTGAAGATATGCTCATCAAGATTATGTCTTTAGTTGAAATTACTAAAAGTTGAAAACATAAAAATTGGGAAGTACATGTTTTACAGGAGAATGAGATCAAATTCATTTCCTATTAA